GCGTGGAGCACAGGAATGGCGTGTCCGAGCAGGAGGAGGGCTGCAGCCTCCTGCTGCCCGCCCGGAGCCAGCGGGGCGGCTTAAATGTTAATTTGGGCGTAGAGGTCTTGCCGCGTTAACGTCAGCAAGCACCAGGTCACCCGGGGAGGCAGTAGCTACATGGCCGTGAGTCTGGGGTGTTTGTTGTGAGCTACAGTAGGAACTGCCCTGCACAGAGCTCCCCAAAGCGCCAACCCCAGCTCTGCTGCATGCATGTGCAGGGATGTGTGTGACCAGAGCTGGCTGAGCATCCTCACTGCTGGGTGTGAGTTGGGGCTGCGTGGTGAAGGGGCCAGCAGGGACAGAGGGTCCCTGTGAGACCACCACAGGGATCAGGCTCCTCCTGGGTGAGGGTTGAGATCTGATTGCTCTCTTGCAGATGGAGGGCTCCAAGGAGCTGGAGAACAGCCTCCTGACCCAGCCCTGGACTTCTGTTCGCTTTGGCGAGTCCACTTTTCTTGCCAAAGCATGCTTCAGGGATACTGGCTATATCCTGCTGATCTCTGACCTCAGCACTGTCTGGTATGAGAGTGCCGATGCTGAGGCTGTGGGACAAAGGTCCAAGGTGAGTGTCTGGATAGTATAGGGACCTCCTTTTCTCCTTGCTGCAGCTGACATCCCAGCATAAACTGCTAGGTGACACAATGGCTGTTGAATCTGACAGAGCTGGAGTGCAGATGCCCAGCCTGGGAAGTCTCTGGGTGTCTCTGCCCATGCACTGTCACCCCAGTTGGCCAAACGCCCTCGTCCTGGGAGAGTAGACCAGGATATTTAGCATGCCCAGGGCAGCCAGGTGTTCACCGGGTCTGCTGGCAGAGGCTAGCACACTCTTTTCACTTGTGGGCTGGATGGTCAGCTGGTTTCCTCAGGACCAGTGTACTAATGAGGAACTTGAAACAAGGCTGCCTTCCCTCCACTGACAGAGATTCTGTTCACATTCATAGCTAGCACAGTCTTCCATGGGATATCCTGTCAGCCTGGCCCCTAAAAACACATGGCTCCATGCCTTATCTCCTCACCCTAGTCCATGTGCCCAGGCCCCTGTGTGTCTCTGTGTCACTTAATAGCTGTGCTGAGCAGCTGGTGGCAGGAGGGGTGGGCGTGGGGTGTCCGCCGCCCCCCAGCTCTGGCAGATTGTCCTGCTGTCTGCTCTAGGCCAGCCTGTGACAGTTGTGGCATGCAGAGCAGATGTGCTAGTGGAGACCATTGCACCCTGCCCATCCTGCCCAGGTTGTGTAGCCTGAGAGAACCAGTGAGGAATGTCCTGTCATGGGGCTGGAAGCAGAAGCCCAGAGATGACTTTTTGCAGTGGGTCAATCAGTAGTTTAGCTCCTTCTGTGTTGGGTTTTCTGCTGTTTTTTGCCCGGTGCTGAGCTGTCTGGGGTGTTGCTGTGCCCCCTAACCTTGCCTTTCCTCAGGAGCTGAACAAGCGGCTGACGGTCCATGTGTCCTCGTTCCTGAATTGCTTGTGCAACCTGATGTGCCCTTTGCTGGCAGGGCAGCCAGATGCCACCACCACCTTCTCCTGTCAGCATTCTGCCAGTGGCCTCAGCCTGCATGTGAAGAGTGAGCTGTCGGGACTGCCCTTCTACTGGGACTTTCACTGCTGTCCTGCTCCCCTGGAGATGGTGAGTGAAGCTGCAGAGAATTTGGGGAGGGGGACAGCCTCCAATTAAGGATTATCTGCAAATGCTTAGAGGCTTTTGTGTGGTCTTGAGCATGCTGGTGACTGTAGGGTGCCAGACTCTTGCCTGCTGCTCATTCCTAGTTTTACTGTCCCTGTTTCTTTCCATTGAGGCTTTGGCACCTTGGTTGGTGCCTTGTGGTGAGGCAGGGAGGGCCCAGCACATGCTTCTGCCAGAGCAGCAAGGGTCTTGTAAGAGCCCACTTGGAGTACTCATCTAGGTCTGGGGTCCTCAGCACAAGAAAGACATGGACCTGTTAGAGTGGGTCCAGAGGAGAGCCACAAGGATGGTGAGAGGGCTGGAGCACCTCTCCTACAAAGACAGGCTAGGAGAGATGGGGTTGTTCTGCATGGAGAAGACAAGAGTCCAGGGAGACCTCTTTGCAGACTTCCACTACTTGAAGAGGGCTTGTAAAAAAGAGGAAGAGTAGCTTTTTACGTGGACAGATAGTGATAGGACAAAGGGAAATGTTTTTTTAACTAAAAGAGAAGACATTTAGATTAGCTGCTAGGAAGAAATTCTTCACTATGAGGGTGGTAAGGCACTGTAACAGGTTCCCCTGAGAAGTTGTGGATGCCCCCTCCTTGGAAGTGTACAAGACCAGGCTGGATGGGGCTTTGAGCAGCCTTGTCTGGTGGGTGGCATCCTTGCTTATGGCAGGGGCTTGGAATGAGATGACCTTGAAGGTCCTTTCCAATCCAAACCTTTCCATGATTCTATGTCCAGTGTGGGGTGATGCCCTGCCCTGTAGAGCAGAGTGATGCTGTTCTCTTTTGGTGCATGCCATGAAGCAGGGCTCAGGGTGATAGGTACCTGCAAAGGACCCGTGGGGAGGGAATTAACACGGGGTCTCGCCGGCTTTTAAGGGGTTACTGTTGCCATGGGGCCGTCTAGCGTGTTGTGTTTCGGGACACAGCACCCAGGGACAGCAGCTCCCTCGGGGTCCCACGGGCAGGGCAGGGCTGCGGGCCGGGGCTGCCCCCGGGGCCCTGCGTCCCTGCGC